AGTCACCGCAGTAGACGTTAGATGAGCGCTGTCGCTCCGCGGCACTTGTTAAAATACTGCAGACATAAAACATGGACAAGTGTAAGAACATGTAAACTTCGTTATAACCAAAAGTAAACTTGTCTCATGCATTATGTGCACTTCTTATTCTTATGGAAGCAGATGCTGCAATAATATTTTATTTTCTTGTTCTTTCAGAAATTGGTTTCACTTGGCTGTTTTCTTCATGGGACTGTCTTGCTCAATTCTCGCATGTATAAAACCAGTAGTTAATGCTTTCGCGCTGATGTTCTTTGGAATTCCAAGTTCGGCCGTGTTGTTTGCTGAAGTCCGTAGGTAAGCACTGTATGTGTATGTACACATTTATTATTTAAGCTAATTATTAAAGTATTATTAAGCTAGCTATACTTTGATTTCCTTCAGAGAACACTGAATGCATACTCTTTGATGTTGTGTATATGTACGTACCCGTAGTTGTTACAAGGTTTTTAGCTCATCTGACGTAGTCAGGTGCAGCTTGTAGAATCGCATGATTGTCCGTCCGTCCGTCCGTCAACAGTTGGGCACAAATCTTAACCGCTCGACGTACGGTCACGATATTCGGGACGTGGGGGGGTAATCCGAAAACGAGTTGGGATGTTGAAGCTGGGGGTCAAAGGTCAAAGGTTAAGAGGTGTTAAAGAAGGGGGAACATTCCCTCCTTAACTTAAGGTGTAGGGAGGAAATTCAGAATTGCGGCACAAATATAAACGGCTTGACCTAGGCTCGTGATAATCAGTGTACAGCATCATGGTAGGAAAAGCCATCACTGTGCCGAAATTGGAGATCACGGGTCAAAGGTCAATGGGGCACAGGGCAGATTTTAGACATTGTCTGAGGACATGGTCTGACGTAGCGATTGAAAAACTTTTTTGTTTCAGCGGTGACCTACCATTTTTATGGCTTTATTGAAAGGACCATGAAATGTACTTTCCGCTGACATGCGAAGAGTAAGTGTTGGATAACCTTTTGACCCACAAGAGGAGGGTTAAACATTGATTTGTTGACTATTAACAAAGGACTGAACTGCTTTTGCTATTATTAGAGACCATACCTGTGTGAATGTGAGGCTACAGTTGCAGTTTAATTGCAAAGGCAAATGTTTGTTGAACAAGGTTTACGCTCCTTAAATCATATTATTTTCTAAAGCAGTCTGTCTATAGCACCCTGAAGGCTGAATCAGTGAATGCTCGTGTGGGTAGGCAAAAACATAGGGCAGCCCATGGCTGGCACGCTTCTAATCATAATTGTTGCCTGCCAACCTGCAATGCACATGTGTCTGCAATGCATGGAGATTAGGTGGGTGCGAAAGTGTAGCTGATATATTTGTTCGAATTGGCTACGAAAGTCAAACAAGAATAAAGAAGACTTATGTATAAGACGTCTTGCTATGCAAAAATGAATTCATCAGCAGAACACCAGACACCAGATGAGCCCTGTCGCACTGCGGCACTTGTTACTCTGTTGCAGCTTGCCAGGTCACGTTTATGATTGTGTGTGTGCATGTGTGCGTACCTTTGCGATTGTACTCATTTGTATTTTTTATATGTGTATGTTCCCATTCGTCTATGAACCTGCATGCTTGTTTATGCATCTGCACATGAATATCCTCACGTGTGGATGTGTACACATGTAAGTGTGAACATGTAAAGTTGTTCCAGATAGCATATGACGATTAATTTTGCTCTTTAGGTGTGATGATAACCGAGCGGTTCGGCTGGGTGTCCGATGTACTTTCATCTTTGTGCTTGCTGTTCTGTGCTGGCTAAATGACATACTCTTCTGCGATGTGTGGGTTGCTCTGAATTTTCCGTATTTACACTGTGGTTGGCACATATTCATCTTCCTGTCATCATATACTGGTAAGCATTTTTATTTCTATGGGCCAGATGCATTAGTATAGCCCTGTAGTACTAGATTGTTTCACTGAGCATATAAGTTTTATATCTTGGCATTTCATGTGTTTGCTTACATTTATATTGCTATGGGTATTGGCTAGAGTGAGCTGAGGCAAAAACATAGAGACATTGCTCATATTATAGTATCTTATCTGGCTTCATTCTGAAATTGTAACATAGTGCAACATATGTGAATGCAATTTTATTATGTTTTCTCATATTATATTGACATGTGTTTTTCAGCGTGCGTTTTGTTTGCATACTTTTATGCAAAGGCCGAGTTTCCTGAACAAATCCCTACGCTCAGGTTTTGGCCCAGAGACGATTGGGAGTTGGGCGTACCATACGTTATGCTGAAGCGTCGTGGCAGCGTTTCACACATGAAGATAAATAATTACTCGAGTAAATCATCTGAGATGTTCTAAATACTCTCCTCATGTTACCGTATATTTAGTGATATTAATTGTGACTGGGTTATTCTAGCTTGAATTATGTAAGTCAGTTTGTCTTCAATGTGAGTAATTTCTATAGGATAATTTTAGTTATATCACTGGACCCTTTCATTGTGTTTTTGTTCATGTTTTATATTTAAAATTGATGTATAATAACATTGACTAATATTCATTAAAATGGCAATTTAGTATAATTTTATTATATTGCTAAGTACTGTCACATAATGTGTAAGACCAAATCGAAAGTACAATTGTAGTTCATAAAAACTAAATGATACCTGAAACGTTGGTGAGGTTGGTACATTTCTGTTTCCCTCACTGTAGGGAGACTTTAATGTGGGCATATTGTGTAGCTCATTATAGAAATGAGTCATCAATTTGTGTCTAGTCCAATTTCATTCTGCAATGTGTGTTGACTTCTGAAGTAATCCAATGGTAATCTTGAAGTTGAAGAGTTAAACAACTTGATCAACTCGCTACTAGGGCTCATAGGGTCTATGTCCCCCAGGGTACTGCCGGAACGTACCCTGGGTACGGTCCGGTATACCGGAACGTACCCTGGTCACTATTTGAAATGGTTAGGGTTAGGGTTAGGGAGTAGGCGTAGGCGATTCCCTAGACTCGTTAGTGGAGTAGGCGAGGTACGGCCCGGCATATTAGATAGTACCAGGGTACGTTCCGGCAGTACCCTGGGGGACATAGACCCTCTCAGCGCTACTAGGACGAATAACCTGTTGCTATTACATTTCTTGCAAAGATTACTATCTCACATTGTATGTTTATGAGAGGTATGTAGTTTATGGAGGTTTATTCAATTATTGTTTTTCTAATATTGTTTGAAAATTCTTGGAGATGTTGCTACATGTTTATTTTACAATTGTTTGAATGCGGACAAATCATTCTTTTTATAGTATATGAGGACAACGAATTATTATACTACAGATTATAGCTGTTTGAAAACATTTGATATCTGAACCAAGCTTTGATTAACTTCATCTGAGAAAGTCAAGAACAATGATGTCCTCATTTTCTTATCAAAGAGATTAAAAGTGTTGACGTAGGGGCGGTCGCAAGATACTTGCCGAGCAAGTCTCTAATCTCGCGATAACATTTTTCTTATTTGTGTAATGTTCATGTTCATGTTGTAATGGTTATAAGTATAGCAGGGGCGTAGCTAACTCACTGAATAAAAACTCAATAAATGAGTCCGTTTGCATGTTGGCAAAGCCAGCTGTTGTCGACTAGGGACACTTAGTCATTGACCTAGTAATTGTATCTTGGCTTGGAAGGCTGGAACTCCCCTCCCCCGCTAGCTACGCCCCTGTAATAGGCAGGTGCCTGAAACAGAATGTTTGTGTGCTGTAATATTAATGGACACCATTGTTACTGAAGAATCGATCTAATAATCCGTCGCCCTTAGGACCATGAATGATATTACCATTGACGCAACGTGTGTATGGCACCGCGGTTTTTTCTAAAATGTTAATGGGTTGTTAGCAGAACAATATCGTAACTCTAGGTTTGTAAGAGCTAGCAACTCTACAATTCGTAAATTATAGTCGTATATGCGCACAATCTGTTGGTGGTCACTGTATAGCTCCGTTGCATGATGGTAGTGCCAGTGACATTGTCGTTATAACTGTTGTTTTTGTTATTACTCATAGTGAGACAAGCTATTGTATTTATTACCATTATTTGTTATATGCAGCTTATTATAATGAGAGGAAATCGGGCGATGATGCTACGGTTAATGTAACTGCAAGCAGTAATCAGTACTATCAATGCAACAGATAAGCACATAAAAATAAGAATATTGTTCACTTTTTGGTTGAATTGTGAACCTTTGCAGACGCGTACTATTATGACTTCCTGAAATTTTCTGATATAGTGGCAATTGAACAGCACCACCTGGTGGATTACAGCACCCCCTGGTGGTTGAGCAGTATTGCGTTGTGCCACTCTCTGGGTTTGGCCATAACATCAACAGTACTGTTAAGTAAAAAAAATAGCTGAAATGATTCTTATATAGCTATCTTGATAATATAATAGCGATTTATTGAGAGCAAAAAGCAATACCTGCTCTACCGCCAGGGTCGCTGTACGCCGCCAGGTGGAGCTGTTCATTTAGTATTATATCTGAAAATTTTCAGGACCTTATGTAGTACATGTGTGCCAAGTTTCACAATTCTACCCAAAATCGTACAATTCATGTGCTTATTTGCCGTACTATATATAAGGGTTTATATGAAACATGTGCCATAATGCATTGTACTTGTATTTGCAGTACATCAATTGGAATCTGCAATTTTCCATGTACTGCTTATAGTCTTATAGAGGAGTTGCATATACTCACAACAGCTGTTGTAGTACACTTTATAAGATTTTTCTAGGGTCATAGCAGGCCGGATGGTCATTATATAGTCGTAAAATAAACCTATCTATCCTCATGCATAGATAATATGTTCGTGGTTATAGCCAGTAGGTTTGTAACATCAGGAGCTAATAATGACAAATTTTTGTCATTATTAGCTCCTGGTAACATATACGTGTATGTACAGATCAGAACTCACCTTGGTTAGCAAATGAAACTCCTACGTGTTAAATATGTTGTCAACTTTCAACACAGCATCGAACGAGATGGGTATCAGGGTATGTGAATAATAGTAATGCTGATGAATGATGTCGTTGCTAGTATGTGGCATCGTTTCTAAAGTACTCAGTCTTAAAAATGTGTATAATTTTACATTTCAGAATAAAAAACAAGCTTCGGGATCCTTATTACTGTTTAATTGCATTATTGTCAAAAGTCATTCGTCTTACTCTACTTACTTTTCATGGTAATTGTAACTTGAATGAAGAATTAAATTACACGAATGTAACACAAATGGGCTACTACTCCCATTCTATCTCTCTCTCTCTCTCTCTCTTTCTCTCTCTCTCTCTCTCTCTCTCTGCTCCTCGTCCGTTCTCATCTCTTCTCATCTCTTTCTCGTTGCGGCGCCACGTGCTAAATTCCACGGCAGAGATTGTAATGATAGCGGGCCTGAATCTGGCGTGGGCTAGGCTCAGTAAACCCTGAAACCTAAAGGTAGACGTATAGAGCAAGCTTATGTATTATCAAGAGTCCATAATAGAGATTATATTTATCTGTCTCTATTATGGACTTTTGATATTATGTAATTGATCACATGTACAGGAAGAGCAGCACGTCATCCTGCTGATTACTGTTCGTGTACCATACATTTGTTGAAGCCGGTGGCAGAACGTTTCTGAAAGTCGAACGAGAGTACAAACATGACACTTTCCCAACCCTGCTTACCAAAACGAACGCGCGCACACACGACCGCGGGCCGAACGTTAAATAGTTGCGCGCACATACGTTCGGTTGTGATTTTGGAAGCGATTGATCAATAATTATTATTCTCTCGATCAAATACGGCCCACTAAAGCAGCAATTCCGTTTGTTCCGCTTAGTGCCGCCAAGTGATGTAACGGTCCGGGGTTCTCTCCCGGAAATTTTTTAAATACCAAAAAAATGTGACATTTCCATGCAAGCATTCTGAGTTTTCAAATATTATTTTTTTTAACTGGAGTTCAGATCTTGGAAGGGGTTAAGATCCTAGAATTCTTAGATCTTGTAATTAGATTTCTATAAATTCGTCATTGAAATAATTTATGAGAAATTGCGCTTAATTCACTTGTGCCAAAATTATATAGCCAATATACTAGCACTGGGTAGAAGCGTGCTGATAGTAGAAGTTTTGATGTCAACACTAAAGTTGTGCTCTGTTCTGAGCATAAAATGTAATGAAATGTGTGTTCTGTACACAGGGCCGGACACACTAGGCGATTAAATCGGGCGACTAAATCGGGCGACTTAATCGGGCGACTAAATCGCTGGTGAAATCGCCTAGTGTGTCCACTCAATCGCCGCCGATTTAGTCGCCCAATTTAATCGCATAGATCAAAACGTTTTGATATTATCGGGCGATTTAGTCGCCCGATTTAGTTGCCCGATTTAATCGCCTAGTGTGTCCGGGGCCGGCGATATAATCGCCCGATTGTACAATTCATCAGCCAATCAGAGTTGTTCAATGATACTGACGTAATAGCGATGTTTCATGTTTAGTATGTCATGTCATGTAATAGCAATGCACGCACGCACGCACACACTCAATCACGCACGTGTGCGTGCACACGCACGCACGCATGCACGCACGCACGTCTACGTGCACATGCATGCACGCACACACGCACGTGTACCTGCACACACACGTACGCACGCACGCACACATGCACACACGTGTACCTGCACACGCACGCACGCACGCAGGCACGTACGCACGCACGCAGGTGAACGTGCACACGCACGCAGGCACGTACGCACGCACGCATGCACGTAGGTGCATGTGCACACGCACGCACGCACGTGTACGTACACACGCACGCACGCACGCACGTGTACGTGCACACTCATGCACGCACGAACGTGTACCTGCACACGCACACACGCACGCACGCACGTGTACGTGAACACGCACGCACTCACTCACACACGCACGCAGGCACGCGCGTGTACGTTCACACGCACGCATGCACGCACGCGCGCACGCACGCATGTACGTGCACACGGCACAGCATGTGGCACGCAGCGTGTAACGCACGCAGGCACTGCACGCTGTAAGTTTCACACGCACGCACACACGCCGACCATGTACAGCGTGTAAGTGCACACGCACACACGCACGCACGAACGCACGTGTACGTAGCACACGCACGCACGCCACGCACGCGCGCGACGTGTACGTACACACGCACGCGCGCACGTGTACGTACACACGCACGCACGCAGCGTATGCGCGCACGTGTAAGTGCACACGCCCGCCATGCACGCACGTTTACATACACACGCACGCACGCATGAAAGCACGCAGGTGTACGTACACACGCACGCACGTCTACGTGCACATGCATGGACGACTAGGCGATTTCATCGGCGATTTAGTCGCCCGATTTAATCGCCTAGTGTGTCGCACTCGACTCGCGCGATTGAATCGGGCGATTTAGTCCCCCAATTTAGTCGCCCGATTTAGTCGCCCGATTTAATCGCCTAGTGTGTCCGGTCCTGTAGCTATACTTCATATAATAGCAAGGGGGCGGTGGGTTAACCGGCCATTTTAAGGGCCGGACACACTAGGCGATTAAATTGGGTAATTAAATCGAGCGACTAAATTGCCCGATTCTATCGCGTGAGTCGAGTGGACACACTAAGCGATTAAATCGGGCGACTAAATCGAACGATTAAATTGGCCGGGTGAAACCGGCCTAGTCGTGCATGCATGTGCCCGTAGACGTGTGTGCGTGCGTGCGTGCGTGTGCACGTACACCTGGCGTGCATTCATGCGTGCGTGCGTGGTGTAGTAAACGTACGTGCATGCGTC